AGAGCAAAAAAGAGGAAGACCCCCGAAATGCATTGGCACAGTGGCAGCAACAATGGGCTCAAGTGTGACAGCAACTGTGTGGCTATGGCGCAGGAACAGGTGGTGTTTCATTCTGGTCTACGTAGGGTCACTATGTTAACAACAGCACACTATTCAGATTGCTCTAGTTTTCATCCAATGTTTCTGTTCAATATGTTGTTGTTTGTTGTTGTTAAGTGCCGTCGAGTCGGTTCCGACCCATAGCGACCCTGTACAGGGTTTCCGAGGGTGTAAATCCTTACGGGAGTAGAAAGCCTCATCTTTCTCCCGCGGAGCGGCTGGTAGTTTCGAACCGCTGACCTTAAGGTTCGCAGCCCGATTCGTAACCACTACGCTACCAGAGCACGTTACATTTAATAGTCATGTCTCCTTAGGCTCATTTTGGTTATGATAGTTCAGCCTTTCCTTGTTTTGGATGACATTGACTTTTTGATGAGGTTGGGTATTTTTGTTGTTGTTGTTAGGTGCCATTGAGTAGGTACTGACTCATAGCAACCCTATGTACAACAGAACGAAACAGTGCCCAGTCCTGGGCCAACCTCACAATTGTTGCCATGCTTGAGCCCACTGATGCTGCCACTTTGCCAATCCATCTCGCTGGGGGTCTTCCTCTTTTTCTCTGATCCTCCACCCTACCAAACATGACATCCTTCTCCAGCGACTGGTCCCTCCTGACAATACGTCTGAAGTATGAGAGATGAAGTTTGGCCATCCTGGCTTCCAAGGAGCACTCTGGCTGCACTTCTTCCAACACAGATCTGTTGGTTCTATGGGCACCTCATGGCATTTTCAATAGTCTCCTCCAACACCATAACTCAAAAGCATCAATTCTTCTACAGTCTTCCGTATTCTGTAGAATGTCTGTTAATTGGGAGCATGTTTACTGCTTCTCTCATGGTTAGATTTGTTGTTGTAAAGTGCCATTGTGTTGGTTTCAATTCAGTGTCCCTATAAGGGCTTCGGAAGAGCAACTGGGGAGCTTGAACTGCCAACCTTGCAGTCTAGAGCGTATCCTACAGCGCCATACCATGACTCCAAATAAAGTATTGTTGTTGTTAAGTGCCACTCAGTCAGTTCCGACTCACAGCGACTGTGTATAGCATTATAGAGGAATGGCTGGTGGGTTTGAACTGCCAGACTTGCAGCACAAACTGATCTTGCAGTCCAGCACATTATCCTGTAGTACCACAATAGACTTTAGTTAAAAATAATATATCAACATTGGCTCATTCGCTGCAACTAATGTACCACACAAGTTAAGGCATCAATAAAAGGGAAAATTGGGTGAGAGGTACTTAGGAACTCTATTACATTCACTCTTTTTTGTTGGTGTTGTAAGTGCCTTTGAGTCAGTTCTGACTCATACTTACCTTGATAGGGTTTCCGAGGCTTTTATATATTCATGGGAGCGAATATACAACAAAAATTATTCTACTGGTACCCTAATACCACTCTGTTTCTTTTAAATTTTTTTTTTAAAGTTCTTATTGTGAATTGAGTGATAGTTTACAGGAGAGAACATTGGTTTTACACTCATCGTTTCATTGCAGTGATTACAATCTCCTCTGTGCATCATCATTCAACAGTATTTGCTTCTATTCCTTCTGTTTGTTTGTTTTTTCCGGGAGAGGGTGTACACAAAACCACTCAGGGATATATAATAACTTAAACAACCAAAGAGCACATTCTGCAAGCCAGCCTCCTGGCTGCCAACACACAGCCTTTCTCTTTCCAAGAGTCTTAGAGTTCTCAACTGCTCTCTCTCTCTTCATGTCATCATCTCGGCCTCCATCTCTGGTGTCGCTGCTTCTCTGGATAGGGTCCCACATTCCTCTCATGCGCTTCTCCCTTGATGGACCTAGTATCCTCTGGTTGTGGACTGTAAGATTAGCTACTTTCCCCTTTATGTTACAGAACTTCTACCTTTATAGTTGTGACAATCGCAATTAGTCATGATACCAATTACTCACTATTGAAATCATAAGAATCTTATCCTCATCTCCTTTCACCAGACACATCTAGACAAGATAAAAACTAGTCAGCGGGGACTCTACCTTCCCCTGCACACTCTGAAATTAAACTCCCTTTTGAACACGTGTAAGCCAGTCACTTCATGCCTTTCTAGCTCCCCTATTTTACAGAGCCAATGTCTCAGTTGCCGGTTCCTATCAACCCTGTATACAGAGAGGATAGGATTGATAATTGATGTGAAGGCTCTTTCCCTTTCAGTTGATATTTTGAGCTACTACATCCATAAGTTATGTCAAGTTCATCAAATTGTAGTAATTTACACTTGTTTCCTTTATCCAAAAAAAAATTATTATTATTTTTTTATCTTCCTCTAGTCAAGTTCTGATCATCAAGCCATCGAGGCTAGGTCGAATGAATAGCACTCCATTTCAATTAGTAAAAACCCAAGTCCTTTAGCCCCCAACACTTCTCAGACCTCATCTCCAATTAGTCGCTTGATCAGTCATTGTTCTAGACCCTGCCAAGCAGGCATGTTCCCTTTGACTGACTCCTCTGCCTGATCTGCTCCTTCTTCAGATACATACTTACATGGCTAATTCCTACACTTCCTTCCATTTTTTCACTCAAACCTCATCTTCTTAATGAGGTCTACCCTGTCACAGTATTTAACATTTTGAACCAAACCAGTACAAATGACAGCACTCCCAATTCCTCTTATGACCCTTGATTTTTTTGTTTTTTGGCCATAGCATTTATCTTTTTTGGGCTTCTAACCAGTTTCAATTCACCAGATGCTCTGTGAGAGAAGGATAAGGCATGTCTGCTCCTACAAAGATTTACAGATGCAAAAATCCCATGGAACAGTTCTACTCTGTCCTGTAGAGTCATTTAGGGTCAGAATTAACTCGACAGGAATGAAATTTGGATTGGATTTGAACATAATCTAATTTACTTATTGTTGTTTACTGTTTCCCTCCAGTCTGTAACATGCTAGTTCCACAAGGGAAAAAGAAATTAAACACTGTGTTTTGTGTCTCTTCTGTTTTGCTTCTTCAAAGACATATCCCAAACATCTACTTAAAAACCCAGCACTTACCAGGTAAAAGGCACTTAAATTAATAGAAAAATGCCAAGGGTCCTATGAAATGCATGATCTCATTTCTATTTTAAAAATGTCTATGAATATCTATGTATACATTGTTGTTGTTGTTAAGTGCAATCAAGTCGGTTCTGACTCAGCGACCCCTCTACTGAGTTTCCAAGGAGTGGATGATGAACTTGAACGGCCGACTTTGCAGTTTAAACCGACCTGGCAGTCCAGCGCATTAACCCACAGCGCCACACTAGGACTCCATGTACACATAGAAAAAGCATTTGTTGTTGTTGTTAAGTGCCGTCGAGTCAGTTTCGACCCATAGCGACCCTGAATAGGGTTTCCGAGGCTGTAAATCTTTACGGGAGCAGAACGCCTCATCTTTCTCCCGCGGAGCGGCTGGTAGTTTCGAACTACTGACCTTCCGGTTCGCAGCCCGATTCGTAACCACTACGCTACCAGAGCTCCTTAGAAACATTAATATACTGTTATTTACTGCCCCCTGTAGGATAAGCACTCAAGTGCACACCACAAGGAATGCGGTTCAAGCTCACCAGCCGCTTCATGGGATAAAGACGAGGCTTTAAGATTTACACCCTCGGAAACCCTGTACAGGGTCGCTATGGGTCGGAGCCGACTCGACGGCACTTAACAACAACAACAAAAGATTTAAAAGCTTCGGAAACCCTATACAGGTCGCTACGAGTGAGAACGGACCCCACAGCACTAACAGCAGCAGCGATGTCTGATTGTTTTTACAATGATCATACATGTAATGGTTCCTTAAAAGAGCTAGTTCCTTTTCTAAAGAAATATGTACTTAATTATGAACGGCAAACCCACTGCGTTGAGTCGATTACGACTCATAACGGCCCATACTAAAGTTTCTGAAACGGTAAATCTTTACAGGAGCACATATAAAAAGTACCTACTGGGTTTGAACCACCGGCCTGCGGTAAGCAGCCCAATGCCTAAATCACAACCCCACCAAGGCTTCTTTTAATCATGAGAAGGGATTAAAAATAAATTAAGTATTGAAAATGAAGAACATATCAATTCCCTTTTAACTAAACTGAGATCTGACAGCAAGAAATGTGACACTCCTTCAATCTCCTAGGACCTGACAAGGCAGCCCTCGTTAACTATCTCTTGGCAAGAATACGAAGAACAAGAAGCCTTAGGAAAGTAGCAACCAAAACATGGTAGCAATATCACATCTTTTAGGGAAATGGCAAGTATTTTAATTGCCAACCCCAGACTATATTACCTTCTAAAATGTCTTTAAAATAAGAAAAGCCTGTGCCTTCGTTTAAAAAAACAAAATGAACTTAACACTTTCTCAATGGGAAGCAGAAGTTATGAATAAAGCAGAGGCAAACGAGATGCGAAAACAAACCCGAAGTCCCCTTCCCAGGCTGTCGACCCAAGGGCACTAAGAACCAGGACAAGTTGTGCGTCCCGGGATCACTCAAACTGGGAAACAGGATGCTATCAAGGGTTTCGCAGGAGCCAGTGGGGCAGGATCGCGACGCAGGCGCAATAGTTTAGGAGCAAACTCTCGGCCACTCATTTTTTACTCACCAGTGCCTTTGGCTGAAGAAGTCGAGACAGTACATGTTCTGCCGATCTTGCTGCCGACTGCACTTACACCAGGGGGGAAGAAAGGCAGAGGAAGAACAACCAGGGCATTCATTCAAATCCTTCCGGAGCAATGTGGGCGGCAGCGAAGAGAGAACTTTCGGTTCCGGTCTCGTCCCGCCCACTGAGGAAATTCACAGTGCGAGAGTGCAGGCGAGCTCGTATCACGTGGCTGCCTTCCGGTGTTACGGCGGACACTCCCAGACGCGTATCTCTGGTTGGCGCTGTGGTGGAGCGACTTGCGGGTGTTACTTGAATTATGGCGAGATCCGAGCAGGAGCTCAACTCCAAAAACGCTGCTGCAGTCACCATGCTAAAGCGGGCGGTGGAACTAGAATTGGAGTCCCAGTATCAACCAGCTCTGGTGTGTTACCAAGAGGGGATTGATCTGCTAATACAAGTTTTGAAAGGTGAGCAGCAGTGAGCCCAAGATGAAACGAAACTGAGTTTCTGTTTTGTCTGAGTTGAGGTAAAAGCTAAAAACAATTATTTCGCACCCAAGGAAGCAAGCAAAGGTAGAAGGTGGGATGTTCTAGCATACTATTTGGGACAGCTTTTTAAATCTAATTAGTAAATCAAAGTCAGACTGTGATGTTGACGCAGAACCAGGCAGTGTTTCGTCCTGTTGTACATAGGGGGTCCCTATGGTTACGAATCGGGCTGCGAACCTTAAGGTCAGCTGTTCGAAACTACCAGCCGCTCCGCGGGAGAAAGATGAGGCTTTCTACTCCCGTAAGGATTTACACCCTCGGAAACCCTGTACAGGGTCGCTATGGGTCGGAACCGACTCGACGGCACTTAACAACAACAACATGAGTCGGAACAGCACCTAACACCACCACCAACAAATCGAAGAATCAAGTTTACAGAGCGGGTTCGGTGTTGTAAAGGGGTAGGACTAGAAAGTCCTATTTCCTTGCGAAACAAGGGGCAACCTTGATAACGATCTGGGTTTGAACGAACTTAACCATTTTGGATCACTTTAGGAAGTTTGAATAGGATTGAATGACATTAAAATTATTAATTTTGTTGGTGTGGTCGTTTCAGGTCTGAAGGCATAGAGCTTGTACTTTTCTACTGGCGCTGTAGGATAAGCACTGGACTGCTACTAATCGCAAGGTTGGCGCCTCCAACCCACCAACTGCTCCTCTGAAACTCTATATAATAGGGTTAGAAACAGCTCAATGGCACGTAACAGCTAACTTAAAGGTTGAAGACACTCCTGGCAGTCTGTTCCCATACAGATCGTTGTTGTGAAGTGCCATCGAGCCCGTCCGACCCATAGCCACCCTATATAGAGTTTCCAAGGAGCGACTGGTGAGCTGGAACTGTAGACTCGTGCAGTTCCAAGTAACTTTAACCCACAGCCACACCAAAGCCCTGTGGAGGTGCCATGAGTAGGAATCCCTCACAGATTTTGTGGGTTTTTTTTATTTTGGGGAGGATAATTGTTTCCAAAAATGCCCTTAATTTGTATAGACACAGACTGAATCATTTGGGGAAGAGGTATCATGATGTCTAAAATTTTATTTACTTAAGGAAAAAAAAACTGGAAGCAAATATGATAAAATGTTAACTTTTAAATCTCAGTGATAGGGATTAGTATTCTGTTACTTTTCTGATTAAACATTTTCATACAAAGTGAACAAAGTCACAGTGGCAGAAGAAAGTTGTTTTCTTAAGAAATGTGTGTACTGGAATTCGGCATGAGAAATGTACAGAAGACAGATTTTTTTCAGTTATGTAGTTGAGTTGTTCCCTGTTGAAAACCAAATCAGTTATCCCTTGATTCTGGTTTATGGCAATCCAGTGTGTCAGAGTAGAACTGTGCTCCATGGGCTAATTTTTAAAAGTAGGTTGCCAGGTCTTTCTTTTTGAGGTGCCTCTGGGTGGACTCCAAGTGCCAATCTTTTGATTTCAAACAAGGGTCAGCAAAAAAGAGGAAGACATCAATGAAGGAGATTAGCACAGTGGCAGCAGCAATGGATTTAAGAGTAACAATTGTGAGGATGACACAGGACCCGGCATTGTTTCCTTCTGTTTTACATAGTGTCCCTGTGAGTCAGAACTGACTAAATGGCACTAACAACAAACAAACCATGGAGAAATGTGCAAATTCTATCTTCACCAAGTGATGAAAGTTAATGTCACCAGAAATAAGACACAGTAATATCCGGTGCCCACTAATAAAATCATATGTCTGTGATTTTTTTGCCCCCCAAAAAAGCTTAATTTCATTCTAATCATGAGAAAGCATCAGACAACCCAAAATGAGAGACATTTTACAAAATTACAGGTCAATACTCTTCATGAGTGTCACGATCATAAGACAAGGAAAGACAAAGACACCATACATCTTATTTTTCACAAATCAACAAGGCAAAAATATTTGATGTATACAAACGAAACATTTAAATATCCAAGCCAGCTTCCTGCCCACAGGCACGCAGCCTTTCTCAGTCCATGTGCCTAGAGTCCGCAACTGCTCTGTTTCCCCATGCCATCGTTTCTGCCACCGTCTCTGCTGTTGCTGCTTTTCTAGGAAGGCTCGTATGCTCCACTCCTATTCTTCCTTCTTGATGGTGCTGGGATCCTCTGCTCCTGAAATGAAAGATTAGCTATCCCCCACCCCCTTTTAATTACATGTCTTCTACATTTGCAGTTGTGACCATCACAGTGCTAATTTCTTCACTTTGATAAATGTACCAATGTTAACTTTAGGAGAATATATAAGAGAAGTCCATATTATTTTACAAGTTTTTCTTTGAATATAAAATTATTTCCAAATAAAATGTGTAAAAAACCCCAAAAACCTAGAAGATCAAAAATGACATTTTAATGGAAAATACAGTTAATACCAGAAGGAAGGAAGGGGAAGTGATTTGGTGACAGGGTTGGAAGGAACTTGAGGTAAGATTTTACTGCTAATGTATATTCATAGGTAACATATTCTTGGATTATTAGGCAAATGATTGACTACCATAGTAAGTCTGGAATAGAAACTGGTTTTGTGGAAGATAGATATTGTTTGTTATCTTTTGATTACTTACATTTTCAAATTTGTAGGTAATTAGGACAAAATGGTGCTCAGACTCAGGTTTCACATGCATTAGATGTTCCCTGACGTGAGTCATGTTATCAGAGTCCCTGTTCTTAAATAAAGATCAGACATTTAGTGCAAAAATGCAAATCCTGTGTGGTCAAGCCCAATTTGAGCCTATCATCGGTGTATTTTAAGAGTGAGATAAACCATGCTAAAGGACAGCAAATGTTTGGAAAACTTGGGAAACTGACTATAATGGTTATACTAAATAGAAACACTGTTTTTTAAAACTTGAGAATATATTTTCTAACTTATAGGTATCAAAGACGACACAAAGAAACGGAATCTCAAAAAAAATATTTCGGACTACCTGAATAGAGCAGAAAATATAAAGAAATACTTGGACCAAGTAAAAGAAGGTAAAGAGGCTGTTCTAGAAAATGGGTTGTGCAGTCCCATTCACCCAGCGGTTCTGGAACCATGCTTAGAGATTTATACTGTCTGGTACAGGAGGGACTGGTAACCTCCTCCCACCACTCACCACATTGAGAAAAGTGACATCAGAGACCCCTTTGGCCCTTGAAAATTTTGCATATAGTTTTAAGGAGTTCACAGATCTTGTGAAACCGATGTATTATTAAGTACCATCAAGTTGGTTCCAACTCATATCGACCCTATTTAGGGTTTCTGAGGAGCAGCTGGTGAAACTACTACAGAGTAATACTGAATACAGAACAAAATCAAAGGAACGATCCTACTGAGCCTTTCGCTTGGGTTATAGAAAATAAAATAAACATGTTTAAAACTCTCTCTACAAGTTATAAGAAGGACTTCTAAAACTTCTTATTATATTTATGTTTAATATTCTCTGTAGCTATTAAGTTACAAGACATAAAAAAAAGACTAAGTCTCCAGATTACCACTGTGTTCTGACTGTGGTTCTGCTCTGGTGAGAGGAAGTGATTGGCCAGTTTACATACCAGCCTTCCATTGAATACACTCCCTGGTCCAGAGGATCCTGCTCAAGACCTATTCCAAGAAAACTCTGGACTTTCCCCTTTGCCTAGACTCCATGAGGGCAGACACCACATGTGCTATATTGATCTATGTGGAGCTCTGGTAGCGTAGTGGTTACGAATCAGGCTGCGAACCTCAGGGTCAGCAGTTCGAAACTACCAGCTGTTCCACGGGAGAAAGAGGAGGCTTTCTGCTCCCATAAAGATTTACAGCCTCGGAAGCCCTGTACAGGGTCGCTATGAGTCGGAACCGACTCCACGGCACATAACAACATCTTTCTGTAGCATCTTGTGGTGGTGGTGGTGTGCCTCATCTTTCTCCCACGAAACAACTGGTAGTTTTGAACTGACCTTGAGGTGAGCAGACCAACTTGTAACCACTACGCTACCAGAGCTCCATGTAGCTTCATTCCATTATTCCACAAACTTTTTGAAGCCCCCTCTTATGTTGTAGTGTTTCAATAAATATTTGTCACATGAATTAGATTAAAAACTGAATTTAGCTCTGATCCTGCTAAATCCCTCTTGTAAGAATGGCAATGGGAGCCTTCTAAAAGAAATTACGTATCCAACTATATATGATATAAAATATGTATGAAAAGAAAATTAGTGCTTGCTAGTTTTTTAAATTTAAGCTTATATTTTGTAGATGGAAAGCATCACAAACAAATTAAAATAGAAGAGAATGCAACAGGTTTCAGTTATGAGTCACTCTTTCAAGAATACCTTAATGAGACCGTTACTGAAGTTTGGATAGAAGATGCTTACATAAGACAAACTCATCAGGTAAGTGAAATGATGAAAATATAGTGCATAAAATCATGGGTTAATAATGGAATAAAATATAATGAAGTATTCTTTAAAACGTACTGGTTTGTAATAATCCATCTGAATGTCTTTCAGCTCTATAACTTTCTTCGATTTTGCGAGCTGATTATTAAAAGATCATGCAACATAAAAACTATTCATCTTCTCACCTCTCTGGACAATGTAGGTATCTAAAAACATTTTCTCTTTTTTACCTTCATTAACTTACTCAGTTACAAGATTAGGCAGTCAAGGAAAACTCTGGCATAATGTTTCAGCTAGATCTGCTGCCGTGGGAGTTAACTTGTTATCTAATGCTAGGCATTAAACATTTGAGAAAAATGCTGTTGATTTTAGTATGCTGCCCTTGTATTTGGCCACTTTGCTAAACTCTTTTATTTGTTCAGATAGTTTGTCAGTTTATTTTCTTGGGTGTCCTAGGAGGCAATCACTTTGTCCATCGTATTGACAATTTTATCTCTTCTTTACCAGTTATGAGGGGGCATCAAAAGTTCATTGAAAACTTCTATTATCTTTCAATTCCATTTTCCACGAACTTTTTGAAGCCCCCTAGTAGTATATTTGACTTATTGCATTGACCTTCTGGTGCACAGTGGCATGAGAGTGGGTTACATATACCTTAATTTTTAGTTGTTTTTTAAGTTTTTATTGTGAATTATATGGGTTTACATGGGAGAACATCAGTTATACATTCATCCCATCGTATTTCGTTTAATTGCAATGATTACAATAACCTCCACAAATCATCAAACAACCAAAGGGTACACCCCACAGGCCTGCTCTCTGCACACAGCCCCTCTCCCTCCCTGAGTCCAGTGTCCCCAGCCGCTCATCTTCCATATCATCATCTCTGCCTCCATTTCTGGCATCACTACTTCTCTGGGTAGCATCCCACATTCCACTCTTCTTACTTGATGGTCCCAGGGACCTCTGCTTCTGGACTGAAAAATCAGTCACTTTTGTTACAAAACATCTACCTTTTGTTACAAAACATCTACCTTTACATTCCCGACCCTCACAGTGAGTCCTCATAGCAATTATTCACTGTTGTACCGCACGAGTCTTATCCTCATCGCCTTTCATTATCCCTGTCCCAACAGGTTGGAAATTATTCAGTGGAGATTATACCTTCCCCCATCCTGTCTGGAACTAGGCTCCCTCTTGAAAGCTTGTAAGCCAGTCACTTCTTGCCTTTGTAGTCCCCCCCACCCCCATTTTGGGTAACCACTGTCTAAGTTGCCTATCCCTGTCAACCCTGTGTACCGATGGGGTGGGAGTGATCCTCGCTGTAAAGATTTGTTCCCTTTTTTGAGCTACTACATCCATAAGTATAGGTAAAGTTCATCAAATTGTAGTGGGTTACTCTTTTTTTTTTTTCCTTTTCTTTCTTCTTCCAGTCAAGTTCTGATCATCCAGTCATTGAAGCCCAGTCAAATGGGTACTATCTGCAAGTATGGGTGTGCTTGTGCATCTCCCCTCACTTCATATCAGCTGGATGCTTCGCTCTCCTCTTTTGTCTTTGATGGCCATGTCACTGCCTCTGGGCCCAGGAGTCCCCGGGTCTTGCCATACTGCTGGCCAACCAGATCTCCTCCTGGGTTCAAAAGATTGTATTGAATGTGGTCAGACTTAGCTCCCAACTTCATTGCTGTTTTTCCCCCCTGTTCTCCTTATTGGTGACCAACGTGGTCAGCCAGACCACATGCCTGCTCATGCATTCCCTCTGAGTCTGAGTCTTAGTCTTGGAAGGGAGTTTGTCCTGAGGGGACCTGACTACCTGCCTTGATGGCTCCCTGGCAAACAGCTTGCTTGTTCTTGTAGTAGTCAGTCAGACTGCTGTTATTGTTTTTCATTTTTCCTGCTGGTCTTTCTTTCACAAAGTATCTTCTGTTCTTTTAGCGGCTCCAGGCTGGTCTACTTGTCCTTTCAAGTGGAAATTTCCCACTTCAGACGATTCTGGATGGGGTTCAGGATTCCACCTATGGTCTTATGCAATGCTCCACAGGAAGCCTCTTTCACTGGGCATCTTCTAGCCCCCTTGAAGGTATTCCAATCAGTTATAGGCTGAAGACAGACTTACAAGCTTTCAATTGTGATGTTTCTGGTTATTCCTTTTATCTCTACCTTAAATTTGATAGAGAGGAAAACGAAATAATTCTGGTATCTTGGATTTATTTGGGAAGAAAGGCAACCCTAACTGACTGTCCAAAACTTCCGACTAATAAATTTTAATACACAGCTGTGTTAACATTCACATTTAAAAAAACCCTCTTCTTTGACAAAAATAATTGCTGCTTAAACTACTGCATATTTCTAGTATAGAACTCTTCCAATTGAAGCCACTTATGATACCTATTTTGGAGTTCTGGTGTGGTGCTATAGGATAAATATTGGACTGTTAACCACAAGGTTGGCGGTTCAAACCTACCAGCTGCTTCTTGGAAACCCTACACAGGATCGCTGTGAGTCATAAATGACTCAGTGGCATTTAACAACAACATGATACACATAGCACAGCTTAGGGATAATTTAAAATTTTAATAACTGAGGCAGAAAATTATATTTTGCTATTAATAGGGAAATGTGAAAATTGAGCAAATTAATGCCCTAGAACAAATAAAAGGGTCACTGAGGAATCATGGCGTGCTATTGGAATTAGAATACTCTTCTTCAATTCATGACCGGGAAATCAGGTCAGTGTATGGAAATACTTTAACTTTTAATTTTGAAGTACAGTTATTTTTATGTCTCCTAATAAATCAGGCTTTTATATAATTGCATATAAGTATCCCATTGAAATATTTAAAAATCAAACAAAGCTGAATTTTAGGAAAAGGAAAAAAATACTTGGCTTCTTTTATGCTGTGTGTTAGTTTACTGTTTCCTAATGGAGTAAAATTTGTATGTTCTGTGTCACATGGGAAGAGAAAATACTTTTCTGATGATTCAAGTATGCATCTCGTGTTACAGTATTGGGATACTTTTCTAAGGAAATTAACATTTACTTGGAGTAGTTTTACTTGTGATGGTTTATTAAATGTTCTAGTAGTTGCGGAGGTGTGTGCTAGGTCAAGAAGGAAACAGTCTGTACATTTATTTGAGTGTTGTGTCTCCTTCTGTTGAGTACAGTGGCCTTCATGGGTTTCTAGCACTGAGATCTTTACTTTTAAGAGGAAACTTACACAGTCATAGCAGCAAAGTCTGGATCCAGAGCTCTTCTTGCTCATGCCCTGCATCCTACCAGTCTGCTTGAATATACTTGGAAAACACTTGTTAGCAGAACAAGAAATTTTTATCAGTAGGCTAAACATCAAGAATAAAGTTTATTTTTCACTGTTAGATGCTTTACCAGTCAGTCAAATAAATGACTGTTCTTATAGACACAGCCCATGACTAACCAGCCCCAACTTTGGTTTCACCCATACCACTATGGTATGTTAGGGGGAAATTTTGTTACACTACAGTCTTGATGTTTGCCTGACTTAAATATATTTAATATAATATTATGTATTGATTTTAATAGGTTAAACAATGGATGGATTATTAAGATTGGAAGGGGACTTGATTATTTTAAGCACCCAAAGGTAAATAGAATCTTACAAGTAAGTATAAGCACACTTTTTGTATAATTTTTTAATAACATTCTCTTCTTCTACTTTTAGGGTAAATTTTCCCTTGGATATTGTGATTTTGATTTAAGACCATGTCATGAAACAACAGTGGACATTTTTCATACCAATCACACTAAAAAAATATGATGCACAGTGGCCTAATTTGCACCATGCATTTCTATTTTAAGTAAATGTTGTTTGTTTTTTCTACTTTGAACAGAGTATTTATATAATATCTGAGTCTATCACTAACCAAATATTGACTGATTTATCAATCCATGGTTCAGTTGTACGAACATTTCTAAATATTTCTGTAAATACATTACTCAGTAGATTTGCACTGTTTCTTTCCAAGTCATACAGTTGGCTTAAACATTTTACCAACTTTTCTCTGATTTTGGTTATTGGAGAATGAGTCAACAGTGAGTGTCTAGACTGTTTGCTGCAAGGTTGGCAGTTCAAGCCCGCAAGCCACTCCTTGAAAACACTATACGCTTGACATCACTTAACAACGGCAGCAACAAATATGAAGGTGGGGTCATGGTTTGGCATCAGGATAAACACTGGGCTGCCAATCTCAAGGTCAGCAGTTCAAATCCACCAGCCGTTTCTTGGAAACCCTATACAGGGTCACTATGAGTCGAACTTAACAACAATAGTATGAAGATAAAAGAGCCCCCAATGATTAAGCACTTGGCTGCTAACCAAAAGGTTGGTGGTGGTTCGATCCCACCCAGTGACTCCACATAAAGATTGTAGCCTAGAAAATGTATGGGGCAGTGCTGCCACCTTGGTGTTCCTGTAAGTTGAAAAACAACTTGATGGCACCCAGCAACAGCAAGTATGAAGATAAGGTACCTGCGTGGTACAAATGTTGTCTGCTCAACTGCTAACCTCAAAGATGGTGGCTCAAACTCATTCAGCAGTACCACAGTGAAGAAGGCCTGGTAATCTCCTTCCATTAAGACTACAGCCAATGAAACCCGATGGTGCAGTTCTCCTCTAACATACGACTTGGAATTGAGTCAACAGCAACTGACCACAACAGTATGAAGACAAACTGGATTGTTGCTCTTCCCCTAGAGTCTGGGAGGGAAAATCATGAATTAGAGTGTTCTTAAGAAACAGATGGGCTTGGGGAGCTAATAACTAGAAGAAAAAAAAAAAAAAAAACAATGTTCATATTGTCATAAGGAAGATACTTGTCTTGACAAACCTTCACCAGCTGCATTTTGACAGCACATAACACCTTGGCTGTACATTTGTTAAATTTCAGCTTAAGAGTCAGCTGACCTGGAAAAGCTTATCTATCCATATACCAGCTGCGGAGTTGGGGACAAACATTTGGTTCCATGGAGAAGTAGAGGCAAGCATAGGGCACTAGAGCACAGGGAGGCAAAAACAAAACAGCAGATCCACAAGCGCCAGCCTGGTGCAGAACCCAAAGATGCCAGTGTGACTTTCATCGGGGTTGGCACGAACACTGCATGGTAAGCAAATGAAATGTTTCAAATCCTAGATAACATGGGAAATTTTTGCAATATCTATGGCTTTGCCAATGATAAAAAGTATTTCTGGAGTAACTTGATTTTCAATATGAGCCATTTTGCTGTAGGAGTTCCACTAATCAGGAACTTGAATGATAATTCCCTAATGGCAGCCCAGGCTGAGGTGTAGCCACGCAGACACATGGAACCCCCGTGCTGTACATAAACATTCCAGAAACAGCCTCCATGTCTATGACTACCACAAGATTTGCCTAGACAGCAACTGAAGTTTGACTCAGATGGGCACCTTCCCTTCTCTACCTGGTTTCCTCTTATTTGTTGGGTCCACTCAAAACTGCGTTCTCCAGTCAATAAAGTTTCAGCAAAAGTGTTGCTATAAAGTTGTATGTTTTTGTTGCTATTACATGCCATCGAGTCGTTTCCAACTCTGACCCTGTGTAGGGTTTTCGAGGAGCAGCTGGTGAGCTTGAATCACCAACCTGGCAGTTCAACTGATCTCGCAATCCAGTGCATTAACCCACAGCGCCACACCAGGACTCCATAAAGTTGTATAAAGCTGTGTATTTAACCCAAACCAAACTGAATGCCGTCAAGTTGGTTCATACTCACAGTGAACCTATACAACAGGATTTCCAAGACTAAATCTTAATGGGAGCTGGCAGCTTATGGAAAAGCTTCATTCTCTGTTAATTCTGTTTTTCCATTAACTTTTTGAAGCCCACTGGTACAATATACCCCATGATAAACATGCCCATTCCCCATGTTTATGCCCATAAATCCAGTCATTCAAATAAAAAATGGAGGAGTCATTCTTGATCTCTCCCTCATGACCATGTACAAACAATTGAATAGCTTTGTGGAGTTTCCTGCAAAACTAACTTGAATCCGTCTGTTCCAGGCGACTGACACTTGACCAAATTTCTTTTTTGGAACTTGAAGGTTTTAACATTCTTAACTTTTGCCCTTTGCCAAGAAACAAGTGGTTTTAACACTCGTTTTATGCTTGTTTTGCACGAAAACACATTTAGTACCTTTCTCAGAAAATAATTTCTACATACTACAACCAATTTAAGACATTTGCTACCCAAAATGGGGGGAGGGAGGCTACAAAACCACAAAGTGACTGGCTTACAAGCTTTCAAGAGGGAACCTAGTTTCAGAGGGTGCAGGGGAAGGTAGAATCTCCACTGAGTGGTTTCTAACCTGTCTGGACGGGGCTGGTGAAAGGAGATGGGAATAAAACTTGTGGTTCAACGGTGAGTAATTGCTATCAGAACTGATTGTGAGTGTTGCAAATGTAAAAGTAGATGTTTTATAACAAAAGGAGGGGAGTAGTTGATCTTGCAGTCCAGGAGCAGAGGACCCAGTATCATCAAAGAAGAAAAGCAGAGTGCGGGACCCTACCCAGAGAAGCAGCAATGCTAGAGATGGAGACAGAGATGATGATGTGGAGAGATGGGTCAGCTGGGGACTCTAGAATCATGAAGGGAGAGGGGCTGTGTGCTGGTGGCTGGGGGGAAGGCTTTCAGGGTGTACCCTTTGGTTGTTTGAATGGTTATATATTCCTGAGTGCTTTGGTATATATCAAAAAAAAAAAAAACCAACTAGAGAGAATGGAAGCAAATGCTGTTGAATGATGATGCATGGAAGGGATTGTAATCATTGCAATGAAACAAAATATGATAGGATGAATGTAAAGCTGATGTTCTCCCATGTAAACTATCACTCAATTCATAATAATAACTTTAAAAAAAACAACATACAAAGCATTCACTTCCAAAGTGAGTTTACAAACAGGTTTCCTACCTAGGGCTCTATTCTTTGAAGAGTGTTTTAATAGCATGAAAATTTTAAACAGAAGCAGTGAAATCTCAATATCATGTCCTCTTTTTATTTCTGTGATTGTCTCATTCTAAAACTATAATGACTCATTTGGTCTCTTTGTGCCTCAGTTTACGAACCAAATTTATAAGACAACACTGCTGTGTTATTGTTGAGATTCACTTCTGGAGGTTAAGTACTAACAAGTCATTTTAAAAAGTAATAACTTACAGTATATTATTTTCAATTAACCTGAAATGTTCCTTATACTTTGAAACATGATGTGCAGTGATTTTCTAAATTTTCCAAACCACTCTTAGTAATCCAGTAAAATCACATGTAAGAATCATTCTCAAGATTAAAGCACAGAAATGAAAAAAATAGGTAAAAGTTGAACCTAGTATAGAAACCAAACAATGTCCTCTATGTGAACCCTCCAAAGTTTGTGGAGTGTTGGGACTATCATTGGTGGTTTTCTTGTGGTGGTTGTTGTTGTTGTCAGGTGCCATTGAGTTGGAACCAACTCATAGCGACCCCATGCACAGCAGAACGAAACAATGTCCGATCCTGGGCCAACCTCACTACCGCTGCCACACTTGAGTCCATCAATGCTGCCATCTGGCTGATCCATCTTGTTAGAGGTCTTCCTCTTTTTCTCTGACCCTCCACCTTACCCAGCATGACATCCTTCTCCAACGATTGTTTCCTCCAGACAATATGTCCAAAGTATAAGAGACGAAGCTTAGCCATCCTGGCCTCCAAGGAGCACTCTGGCTGCACTTCTTCCAAAACAGATCTATTGGTTCTTTTGGCAGTCCATGGCACTTTCAGTATTCTCCTCCAACACCAGTTGTGGTATTTTAATACAATTGGTATTAAATGATTCAGTAGTTAAATGATTCAGTCCTATGTGCCTCCCAAGTTAAAAAAAACAACAACACTATAATTGTCAATGAAGATGTGCAGACAAGTAGAAATTGTCCTGTATGTTTTTGTAAACAAGTGATATTTTTCAGTCACTTGTCATTCAATTTTATTGACCATACCATCGTATGAAAGAGAAAATCTGAAGGGGAGAAATGATTGTTGTATACACTTTGAATTGCTTTGCATGGTCTCACGTGAGACAACTGGGATAAAAATCTTGAGTTATTTTAATATTTGAAAACAAAAAATGGAGATTAAAAAAAATCAGTTAAGATTGCATCAACAAAGAGAACTTTGAAAAGGAACTCAGAAAAACAACACCATTTAGAATAGACCCCCAAAAGATAAAAAACTTAGGAATAAATCTAACCTGGGATGTAAAAGACCTGTACAAAGAAAAATGAAAACATTATCTACATAAATGGAAAAACATCTTATGCTCATGGACTTTGCAGTCCAGTGCATTAACCCACAGTGCCACACCAGGACTCCAAGAATGGGTGATAGTACATAAAAAAATAATAAAAAAAGAGGGACTAGAGGTAAATACTGTTAACCAATGGCGCATGGAGAGGATTGTACTCATTGCAATGAAACAAAATACGATTGGTTGAGTGCAAAATCTATGTTCTGACAGGTAAACTATCACTCAATTCAATTCACAATAAAAGCTTAAAAAAAATGATAATTTCAAGTGGAGAGAAGTTATTCAAAGATGCTAAGGTTTTTTCTTAAGAGACATTCAATGCACACTTAAAATTTTTATTTTCTCATCTAAACTGTCACTGTTAAGACATTTACTTTGGGTCACATTATTCCCTTAATTTTTTCACAGAGAATATACCATTTTTTATATAGTTCATGGTCTTGTGGACATGTTCTAAGTAATATACTGGTTAGCATGGTAGTTTCGACTGGACAAAACTTACTGTCAATAAAACATGAATTTAATTTCTCACATACTTCCAGTGGCAACCAATGCTCAGGCACTTCAATATTACAGATTTGAATTCTTCCATTCTTTATGTCTATGTGTACTTTAATTTCCAAACATGACTGTCCATCTAATACATTAAAGGAAGTGTTTACAGTGAACTTTGGAGTCTTGCCATATACCCACTCCCAGGTTTGCAGGTCTTTGGCTTTGCTGTTTATTCCAGGAAACAGTGTCTCATCCTCAGGGTCTACCAGGTGAATGTGGCCATCAATCCGATGATAAGCTGCATACTCTGCAGCAACAGCACTCATCAGTACCTCACAGGTCAGAGTGGAATCTTTTTCCAGAAGGTTTTTCACTAAGGAAGGTATGCTAGTGGTGGCATTGCTCTTGATTCCTTGGTAAGGACTGTTCAGCAGTGAAGACAAGAAGGCTCCATCGGTGTTACACAGCAAAGTGCAGTGGTGATAAGCAGTAGTCCGGCCAATCTTAGAAGCAGTTCCTGAGATTTTAAACTGCCCATCGAGCAAAAGGTCAAATCTTTTGGTAGCCTGCACATCCAGCTGGGGTTGGACAGTGTTCAGAGCTTGCACAATTAACTTCAGATTTTCCATCCTATCATACTTGCTCTTCGTTGTAAAGAAAGTCAAATTGATATTACCCATATCGTGGTAGACAGTCCCTCCTCCACTTCTTCTTCTCGCCAACTTTACACCTTCTTTTCTCATCAGATTCAGGTTGCATTCTTGCCAAGGATTCTGATGCCTACCAATTACAACAGAAGGAGAATTTCTCCAAAGGAAAAGAATTGGATTGCCTTCTAGATTCATATGGTCATGGATCCAATCTTCTACAGCCAGATTTTGGTAAACATCATTTGAAATTGACTGTAGAATGAGCCCATTTTTCACTGTATCTTTAAAGCCAGCTGCTGGGACCTTACGGTTACAGAGTAACTGGAAGCAATTCTTCAATGAAAATGGGATCAGCATGCTTTTAAAAATGGAAGATAAAACAACAGATTAAAAAAGATAATTAAATTCTATTTCCAAGCCATCAATTCTTAGTTATTTAATCCAAGGTTGTCTTATTCTAAATATCCAATCCAGTTGCTTTTCTGATCCTTTGGCCATACCACTCTAAAACAGAGTACTCAGAGGAAATACATGATGACAAACATCAAATAGTTGCAGTTTAAACGGAATAAAGACACAGATTTTTCAAACAATAATTCTGCTAGAAACACATTACATAATATATCCCAAAGTCAAACAAATTACTTTGAATTCACAAATAATGTATGATTATTGAGAAAAACTAGATAAGCAAAAAGTAGGAAATGAAATAAACTACAATCTACTACCTGGAGACAATCATCATTACCGTTTCCATTCTTTTTCTGTTCATGTCTACACACTTTTTCCAACCCAGAGTACAACCATACTATTACTTCACTCAATACTTTGTTGTTGTTAAGTGCCATCGAGTTGGCCCACCCACAGCAAACCTCTATAGGGCTTCCGAGGAGCAGCCGGTAAGCTTGAACTGCTGACTTTGCGGTTCAAACCAACCTGGTGATTGAGTGCATATACTATGGCGCCACACCAGGACTCAGTATGCCATCGTGAGTTTACCACAATTTACTCAATCTGTGGTGTACTTTATTTCAGATTGTTTCTCGTTTTTCTGTGTTGTTGTTAAGTGCCATTCAGTTGGTTCCCACCCACAGCAACCCTGTACAGGGTTTCCGAGGAGCAGCTGGTGAGCTTGAACCATTGACCTTGTGGTTCAAACCGACTTTGCAGTCCAGTGTATTAACCCACAGCGGCACACAAGGACTCCATTTCTGTGTTTGCAACAGCATATTCATGAATATCTCTGTGGAGCGCTTTAATTATTACCTTGTAATACCTTTTTGAAGTCCCTGGTTAATGCAAATGGTTAGGCGCTCAACCAGTAGCTAAAAGGCTGGTGGTTCAAGCTCATCTAGGGGTGTCTCAGAAGACAGGCCAGGAGATGGGCTTCCCCATGGTGCAGCTGAAAACCCCAATGTGCAGTTCTACTCTGTACACATGAGGTGACCATGAGTAGGAATTGTCTCCACAGCAACTAACAACATTTAAAAAAAAATCCTTATTTGACTTTGGGATATGTGATTTATTAGAAGCATAACTGTTTTATTTAGATGTCTATTAATTAAGATAGAGCTCCTGAAACCAGAAAGTATCAGCGTATGGAGGGTTATATGGAAAAGTTTTGAATAAGTTTACTACATTTGGACTCTTCCTGTAATTCTTGTTAGTACTGCTAGTGAAATATTACGTGGCATGGGGTTGAAAATAGTAGATACAAAAAAAAGGAATTTTGACTAGCTTTGGTCTTTTAATAAACCTTACTATTCAAATTCTATTCCTCAAGATGCGTATAATTTTCCTTTCAGTTGAAGAAATGGAAGAGAAAAGTTAAAGTCCATACTAGCCCAGCATAGGGAGACCAGTTAATAAGTACTATAGTTGTCCAAGCTGGAGCTAATGAGGGTCTACAATGGTGACAGACAACGGAGGGGATGGATATGGGCAACATTAGGCGGCGGACTGGTTCTTGCCTTCAAAAAACTCATAATCGAGTGAGAGATAAAGTAAACCAACAATTTAAAAATGGTGTCATAAGTGCTATGAAAGCAATAAGTACATTAATACATGAGACAAAAGGGGCAAGAAAAGTTTGTAAGAAAAGGAGAACATGATCCATTCAATGAGTTTAAATCTGTTAGCTGGTACTTCAGACATGCAAGGAATGGAGAGTTGTAAGAGATAAGGAGGCAGAAGTAGAGGTCACATTATAGTTTTAAAATCCACATCGAATGCTTAAAACTTTACTCTGAGGACCATGGGAGAGTCACAGAAGACTCTTAATATCAAATTAATGGTTTAGAGCTACCACCTAGAAACATAAGCATGGAGAACTGATAGTACTTGGTAACTGGTTGAATAAGGGTGAGAGAGAGAATTCAGAAATCATGACCTTTATAATCAGGCTGTTAACCTCAGGGTGGGCAGTTAGAAACTACCAGCTATTCCACGGGAGAAAGATGAGGCTTTCTGCTCCTGTAAAGATTTACAGCTTCGGAAACCCTGTACAGGGTCACTATGAGTCAGAACCGTCTCCATGGCACATAACCACCACCATAGTATAATGTACTTATTCACGAAGTTAAAAGACTGTAAGTATATACAGTACACCTAAATATAAAGAAGATGAAAATTCTTACATCTAGATCAGTAGACATCATAATAAATGGTGAAGAAATGGAAGCTGTCAAGGATTTCATTGTACTCTGATTAACAATCAGCACCCATGGAAGCAGCAAAACAGAAATCAAAGGATGTATTGCACTGAGAAAATCTTCTTTAAAAGACCTCTATAAAATTTTAAAAAGCAAAGATGTAACTTTGATGACTAAGGTGTGCCTGACGCAAGTCAGGGTATTCTCAATTGCTTCATATGCATGCGAAAGCTGGACAATAAAAAAGGAAGACTGACCGAAGAACTGATGCATTCAAATTGTGTGTGGTGGTAAAAAAAACACTGACTATAAAGCCCGAAGGTTCTTTAGAAGGCTTCATGCCATCAAGAAAGACCAATCACTGGAGAGAGGCATCATGTTTGATGAAGGAGAGGGTCACTAAGAAAAGAAAGACCTCTCAGTGAGATGGACAGCCACAAATGGCCGCAGTAACAGGTTCAAACATATCAGTAATTGGGAGGATGGCACAGGACTGGGCAACATTCCTTCTGGTATACATAAGGTCACTGTGAGTAGAAACTGACTCGATGGTACCTAACAACAACATAGTATAATGGTTAACATCTCAAACCAGATTGTTAAAATTCAAATCCCAACTCTGTGCCTTACCAGCTGAGTGGCCTAAAGCAGGTAAGTTAATTCTCTGTGCCTCCGATACCTTACTTGTAACATGTAAGTAATGACAGAACTCATTTCATATCAGGATTAAAAAGAGCTATTCTATGTAAAACGCTTTTAAAAATACCTGGCTTGTATAAAAGCACCAATATGTATTAGCTATTTATGGACTCGATGTGGCCCTTTAGGATCAGCACTTGACTGTGAATCACAGGGTCAGCAGTTCAAACCCACCAGCTGGTCCTTGGAAACCCTATGAGCCGAAAGCGTTAAGGGCACTTAATAGCACTACCAACAATTTTATTTATATCATGCCCTCGTTTCTGGACTGGGAAATGGTGGATAGAGATGACATTTTCTAGGACAAATTTCACAGGAGTGAAGGTAATTGCTTCATTTTGACTGTATTGAACTTCAGTGTTTATGGGATATGTAGGCATCAATGGGAAAGCACATTATAGATAGAAATTGAGGTCATGGGAGGGGACAAGATTGCCCAGTAACAGTTCAGTGAAACTGTCTTCAGCAGGACCCCAAAGAGGAACAGGCAGAGGAATGAACGTGAGCTCTCAAAAAAGAAACAGAACAGAGGGAAAACGAAGAAAATTTAAAATATAGTATTATGGGAGGTCCAAAAAGGCAACATCATTAACAGCTTAAATGCTGTGGGAAGATCAAATAACATGAGGTTGAAAAGGGTCAACTAGAGAAAAGTATCAAGGAGGTGTTAATGATCTTAGCAAGAACCAATATGGTGCATCAAAGTATGTCAAAGTGCAGGCAATCTAGTTGAGAAGGGAGGAGACAGAGCAAGAGAAGAGAATGTGGAGTTAGGGGAAGATTTAAGATGAAAGAGGTCTAAGGAAGTTTAGATGACAATGGGAAAAAGTCAAGAAGAGAAAAAAAGGAATAAGGGAAGTCCCTGAGGAAGTAGAAGTGTTGGGATCCAGCGTTCAGGTGGGGAAGCAGCCTGCAAAAAAGTGCATCTCTTCTATTATGACCTAAGAGAGAAAAAGGAATAGGTGTGGTGGGCGGCAGCCAAGAGTTCGCAACTGACACTAGTAGGATCAGAGGATCAGCAGGTGTATTTGATAATAATTTGGCAGCCATTTTAAGTAAGTTTTTAAGTCTAGGTCTCATTAAAACATCGAAATCTGAGGGAGTTAGGTTGGGCCTACTGTGTGCCAGGCACCTGAATAGGTAAGCAAATAAAGAGGCCTCTGTGAAGACATAACATTTAAATTGTGCCCTGAAGGACAAGAGAATGAAAATAAAAGGGTGTCTGAAAAAATCTGAATGCCATTTATTAATTTACAGAGAATCATAGGATGTCAAATGCCTATTCAGATCAGCCTTTTCACCTACTCTCTAGAGGATTACTGATAAGCTATTTTATCAAAAGTTGGCTTGGTGAATACAGACAGACTCAGAACAAAAGGAATGAGTTAAGTGATTGCAATGTATGATGGGATAGAACCTGAGGAAACAACCTCAACTCCCCGACCCTGGAGAGAGAGATCCTATCCTTAAAACCATGGTAATTCTTCCTCCTGGTGGTGGTGGTTGTGTACCATCGAGTTGGCTCCTACTTACTCATAGTCACTCTTGTAGTTTCCGAGGTTGTAAATCTTTACTGAGCAGAAAGCCTCATCTTTCCCCCACGGTAGATTCGAACTGCTGACCTTGAAGTTAGCAATCCCATTCGTAACTTACTATGTATGCTACTAGAGCTCGGGAAGGTGTAAATTCACCTAGGAAATGTGCGCCTCTTTCATTCCATGCTTTAGTAGATGCCCGAGATATCAGGATAAAATAACGTTTTGAAGGCCTGATAGAATTGTTTCTTTAAAGTAACTTCACATCTCTCCACTTTGACTCATTAATTACTAATTATAGTTCTTTTTCAAAGGACAATCTTATTTTCACCTCCCTAGGATCAAGGAGCTCTGGTAGCATAGTGGTTACGAATTGGGCTGTGAACCTCAAAGTCAGCACTTTGAAACTACAAGCAGCTCCGGGAGAAAGGTGAGGCTTTCTGCTCCCGTTAAAAGATTTACAGCCTTAGAAACCC